TCGCCCTAGCTTTTATTCATTTCCTTTCTCGTTCATAAAAAGAATTAATATTCATTTTCACATAATTAAAAAGTAATATAATTATAAAAAATATAATTACTGATTATATTTCCAGTAAACTATTAATATATTCATTTCATTTTTTCTTCATAAATAATTAATATAATTATAATATTTGTAATCATATAATTGCTGATTATATTTTAAGTGAAATATGAATATATTCATTTCCTTTTTCACTCATAGAAAGAGTTAATATTCATTTCCATTTCTTTTTCCCTAATAATTTTTTCTAATATTTCACGTGGTGGTTACTAATTTTTTCGTAGGGAAAGCGGTGTTATATTTTCAATAAATTTTTAATATTAAATCTTTTTTTTTTCATTTGGCCTAATTCCCGTGTTTATTAGTATAACAGAATATTAATAATAGATTTTCGTGTCTAAATTTTATTTTTTTCCTTTCATATTCATTTCCTTTTTTCTTCATAAATAATTAATATAATTATAATAATATAATATAATTACTGATTATATTTTAAGTGAAATATGGATATATTCATTTCCTTTTTACATTCATAGAAAGAGTTAATATTTGTTTCCATTTCTTTTTTCTTCATAATTTTTTCCTAATATTTCATTTGGTGGTTACTAATATTTTCGTAGGGAAAACTGTGTTATATTTCTAATAAATTTTTAATATTAAATCCTTTTTTCATTTGGCATGATTCCCATGCCTATTAGTATAACAGAATATTAATAATAGATTCTTGTGTGTAAAATTCATTCTTATTCCTGGTTATAAAAACAATCTGGTACGTTTGTAATATTCAGTTTCAATCATAAAAACAATCTGGTACAATGTTTAATAATCATTTTCTTTTTCCTTTACCTTAATTTTCTGTATAGCAAATTAGTTATTTACTTATTAAACACATTTTTTTAATTCGAGTCCATTTTTAATATTAATTTCATTTTTCTTTTAGTCTGATTTCTATGTCAATTAGTAATAGAATATTAATAACAAATTTCATTATTACAATTAATTCTTTAGTTTTTTTTTTTGAATTAGAATAATGATAATTGTAATTATATTAATTAATTAATTGTATGGATATTTTTTTGCAATGAGATACAGATCTACCAATGTACCCAGATGTGTTCTCCTGCCTCAAAGCCTAATGAATCATACACATGTTGCATCTTAAATGCACGTAGATATAGACATTCATTTTTTTTTTTTTTGAGAATGCTAATCGATTCACTGATAGTTGAAGATAGATAACAATACTTATAATATGAAATTAACCATTTTGGAAGAATAATATGAAATTAAACTCAAATCCAAGTTACTTTACATCTATTAATCCCTAATTGAGATTATATAAAACAAAACATAGATTTAAATGATTTCATCTAAGAGCTTGTAAATATGGTGACTGCTTTAGTGTTTTTAGAGAGACAACGTGCTTTACCAATTCGCCAGGAAGAACCAATCTCATGCCAGCCTGGATCTCGCGGGAAGTGATTATCGGCTTCTTGTTGTAGTGGGCCAAGCGAGTCACCTCTCGTTGATGAAGCTATTCATGATGTCCAAACTGCAAAACATATTGAAGTACGTGAGAATATAGTTAGAAAAATGTAGAAAATTCATACAAAAAGAAAGCAGAAAGATGAGTCTGAGATTCTTTGATTGAAGAAGCTCTTGTATTTATAGATAGAAAATACTAATTCAAAAGGAAAGTATAATAATTTATTTATTTAAGGGAAAGTATAATAATTTATTTATTTAAGGTAATAACATTATTATTATTATTATTATTATTATTATTATTATTATTATTATTATTATTATTATTATTATTATTATTTATTTAATTTCCATTTGACATTTACTTACCAAATAAGTTTTACTACAAAAGTTTTGGGGGGAAAATTTGTTAGGAGGATTTTACTTTTATATATATATAGATGATAGATAGATTATTATTTTTATATTATTATGGTTACATTATTTCATAAGATTTTTATTGTATTTGAACAATAATATTTTCAATTATATTATAGAATATAATACCATACATAATATAACAATTAATAGATTTATTTAATTTCCATTTGACATTTACTTACCAAATAAACTTTACTACAAAAGTTTTGGGGGAAAAATTTGTTAGGAGGATTTTACTTTTATATATATATAGATATAGATGGGCACTAGTTGAGAATGGACTAAAAAATGCAACAATGCGACTAAAGATGCCTAAAGTAAGAGAATACACGTCTTTGCCATTGAGTTAAGGACGCACCGTGTTATTTTATAAGTTCAAATATTATACACGTCTTTACTCCTGAAGTAAAAAGTGTGTTATATCGTATTTAAAATTTGATTATTTAATCTTATGATCGCGTATAATATGAGTCTTTAATGCGTAGGTAAAATATTAAAGACGTGTATTGTATATTAAAATAAAAAGAAATTTAAACTCTTTTCAAGTAAAATCCTAGAGACAAAACACCCTTCTCATCTTAGTTCTTTTTTCCTCTCAACGTCGTCGTGCCTTCTTCTTGTTACTTCTCTCTCTCAACCGCACTCTCTCTTTATAAGAATAGGAGAAATTGGGGGATTTAATTATTTCGTGTGCTTGAAAGATTTGAAATTCTTGCATCATAAAAGTTGAGCAATTCTTAGATGTCATAATCCTTGTTGATAATTGATCACGAAAGTGACTTATAAACCATGATTCTTCTGTGAATTTCCGTCAATTTTGTTGTTTGGCATTTTACCCCAATTATATAGGTTTATTTGCATCTAGAAGATTACCCTATCTTGTTAGAATCATTACTTTTATTTCTTAATTGCTTTAATCTCGTTTTTATTGCCTTTTTTTACTTGTTCACTTATACTTTATCCTTGCTTGAATGCTACTCATTATGATTTGAGTAGTTTTTTGCCCATTTTCTAGACTTCGTGTCTAGTTACTTGATTATTGCAAAATTCAATTTGTACCGTAAATCTCAATTTCCAAGAGATTAGAAGTACGTGCAAAACACACCCATTCACCCCCCCCCCCCCTCCCCCCTCAACTATACTTTCATCATGTAGCTTCATGATCTATATTATCAATGAAATAATTTTGTCCTAAACTTATAATGGCACGGACAATTTTCGTCCTCCATAAAACAATCAGACAATTTGTAGACACTCTTATTGTGATGAGGAGGATTTTAATCCTTTGTCACTTATCTCGTTAGTTGATCCCAGGGGATAAACGACACTGTTTGGCAGAAGTGACATAAACAACGAACAATTTCGCCTTCCTCCAAATTCACGCACGCTGAACCCTCCAGATTCACCTGCTACCATGGTAGTTTCTCAAATTCAATCTGCTACCAAAACCCTCCAGATTCACCTTCCTCACCCACAACTTCGATGGCGATTTGGTCGCTCCGTCGTCAATGGGGCCTCTGCATGACTGCATGGGCAATCGGAGTTCGTGGCTGGTGTTGAGGCAATCGGATTCAATCTGCAATCTCTTGCCGCACACTCTTCAATCTTCTCCCGGTGTGTTGGAATCGGACGCAGTCCACAGGCAGTGAGAGATAAAGCAGGTCGCGAGATGGAATTGTCGGCGGCTTACTTCCTCTCCAGCGGCCAGAAGAAGGTGAACGAGCTCCACGTCACTGATGTCGTCAACAGAAGTTCTGGAGGCGTAAGGATGGAAGAACGCGGAAGATCCGTGGGCCTTTTGGGTGAAGAATTGGATGTACCTTTCTCCGGCAAGACTCAAAATTTCAGCCACCGACAGTTTACCGCCGGCGCCGTTGACATCGAGGCGATCGGTTTTCCGGTTTAGACTGCTCCGATCCTTGAAAAACCTACCATAACATTTCAAGATCTTGAAAGACGCAGAAGAAAATGGAGTCTGGTGAGGTAGTTTGGGCTTAGAAACTTGAGGATTTGGGGAAGGCATTTGATTTTGATCTTCAATAAGGTGTTCGATCTTTTTTAGCTCCAGCAAAAAGGGAGTCAAAATCATCACCATGTTCTCCCACAACCATGTTTTTACCATTTACCCTCTTTTATTGCATATATTTGGCATGATTCTGCATTATATTTCTTTTTATTGTTTGGTTATTAGCTTGGGGCTAAGATATTTTTTATTTTATATGGATCAGATTGCATCACTGGGTTCAATGTTCACCTTTGTGTTTTATCTTTGCAACTTTTAGAGTAAAAAACATTTTTGGTCCTAGACTTATAGTGGCTTGGACAATTTTAGTCCTTTATAAAAAAATTTGTCATTTTATGGACAGAGTTATTGTGGCGAGGACATTTTTGGTCCTCCGTCTATATTTCTGTTAGATAATCGTATGAGAGAGGGGCAATTACGTCAATTTAGGCTATCTTTTTATTGTGAGATGGGCGATTTTGGTCCCACAACCATGCCTTTACTCTGACCCTCATTTATTTGTAGTTTTGCACTACGAAATGCTCTGCCCACAACCATGCCTTTACTGCAACTTGGACTCTCCGACTCCTTCGAATTATGACCGAGAAGAAAACAAAACACACATAGATATAATAGATAGAAGGAGATAGCCTAAATTGACGTAATTACTCCTCTCTCAGACGGTTATCTAACAAAAATATAGACGGAGGACCAAAAATGTCCTCGCCACAATAACTTTGTCCATAAAATGGCAAATTTTTTTATAAAGGACTAAAATTGTCCAAACCACTATAAGTCTAGGACCAAAAATGTCTTTTACTCCAACTTTTATGTTGGCGTCAATCAGAGTTGCCCAATCTCTCCCTTTCCATAGCCGTACGTAGTGCAAGGAGGTATGATGAAAAGACACAAACACCCATCTCAAACGGGGCATTTAACGGAAAGAGTGATGGATGATCAAAATTGTCTTCGTCACAATAAGAGTGTCCATAAATTGTTTGATTTTTTTTTGTTATGAAGGACCAAAATTGTCCGTGCCATTATAAGTCTAGGATCAAAAATGTCTTTTGACTCTCTTATAAGTGATAAAAAATTAGTACAAACTTCTCAAAAAAAAAAATAGTACAAATAAAATTGTCTTTAAAAAAAAAAAGGTGACTAAATTGTCATTGTACAAAAAGTTGAAGCAGAATGAAGTGAAGTAGGCGATGATGCAGACTGGGAATTGTTGCAGATCACCTCAAAACGGGTTTGATTGGAAGAGACAAAACTGGTTGTATCGCTGCAGCTTCTTTTCTATCTTCATTGTTTCTAGGACGCTCAACTTTTTTCTCATGCAAACCAGGTGGGAGGACACAATTGAACCAAAAACCTTCACTCATCAAAACAACACTAACTTAACAAACATTAATCTAATCACCACAAAAACAATATATAAAGCATGTATATATATATATGTCCATAAGTACATTAATCAGACCAAATTATATTGTGAACCATGAATAAATGTTCATTTTTAATATAATTAACATAGCTTATTTGTGTATTGTATTGAACTTTCTGTACACAAAAAATGAACCTTAAAAAAGTGAACATTTAATATATTAAAAACAAAACTTTAGTATATTAAAAATGTATTTTATGTCTAGTTCACCCTACAAGGTAGACCATAGCCTTAATTTTGTACCGTATCGTAAATGTTTAATTTCCACTTATTATTACTATCGTATTCAAATTCTGACGTCTAATCATCACTACTGAATAGGGTCGGCGACGATTTTTTGTTAAATATAAGAGCATCCACTATAGTGGATTATTCTAAGTTTTTTTCAGAATGCTTTCTCCCAAGACAATGAGCAAAGCCAATGTGGAGAAGAAATAAATAGAGAAGAGAATTCTCATGCAAATGAAGGGATAATTGGACTGCAAAAAAAAAAAAAAAAAAAAAAAAAAAAAGTGACTTGTTGTGCGCGTTTGGCGCACAGCAAGTCCACATCCGGGCGCGCCTGCCACACTTTTTTTTTTAATTTAAAAAATTCAATTTTTGTTTTTTTTTTCCTCTCTCCTCCCACATTCTCTTTCCTAATCACTCTTACATTCTCCCCTCTAGCTAATATCCCCACCGATAAGGATGCTCTAAGAGATGACATTTAAAATTTACATATTTGTGCTTTGAGTTAAGGGCAATGATTGGAGTCTGGAGAGGTAAAACCATGAAAGTTAAAAAAAAAATCAAAATATGCACAAAATTATTTGTTGTAGACTAAAACCCTGTTTGGTAACATAATTAGCTTATCAGTCAATTTTAGTTTATTTGGCTACTATTAGCTGTTTGACTTGGTTAAACAATCGTGTTTGATTAATTAGCTTTTTGTAACAACTTATTACTCCAAAATGCTAAAATTCAAAATTTCGATAAGTTTTTTAAGAAAGTCATTTTGCATGTAATCAGCTATCAGCTAAAGCTAATTTACCAAATACTGTTCTACAATCAGCTAATGTTATCAACTAGTAACCCAATCAACTAACAGTTATTTACCAAACATCCTAAATAAGGAAAACCATCCACCCAAATCAAGAAGTAGAGCAAGCTTTTTTTTTTTTTTTTTTGAAAGCAGAAGTAGAGCAAGCTAATTAAGGGTTGATGCAAAATAAAAGTATATTACTTACCAACATGAGCTAGTCGATTGACCCATCGAGGAATTGAATTCCCTGTCAAGTGGGTACAGACATCATTGCAGAAATGGTTACAGTTGTTGGTGATGAGCTTATAAGAGTTGCCAGTATAGGTTTTAGATAGTTTGTCGATGAATGCCCTCACTTGTTCTGGGCACAAATCGGTTGTCCCTATGAGGATGGATCTTCGGAATCTGAACCCAGGGCACTGCTTCGGTTCTACTTCAAATATGCCCGAAAGAGCACGCTCGTGGGCACCAAATCCATATTCAACATCATGTACTGTACTATCAAAATGCAGTATATTATATATTGTTCAACATAGTATTAATGAGTATACAAATTCTTGAATATATATATGTTTCGCATTCAATTCTAAGCTGCAATCAAACAAACATGCATGGAGGGCCATGGTGCACTGGATGGGAAGAAACATAAAGCAATGGCTTCCAATGTATGTGCCCAAAATAATTCTAATAATCATAAACAAACGAAGAGACCAAATGTTGGGCAGAGGCCGGGTGAAAGATCAAATCTAGCACCTAATGGTTAGGGGATTGTTGGACGGAGGCCGGCTTGAAGGGTCGAGTCTAACACTCTCCTTCCGAAAATGTGGTGATATAAAGAAATAAAGTCAGACATTTGCCGTTGACTATAACTTTTACAGGGCATTTGGTTTACTGTAATTTAGCTGTAGTTGAATTGTAATTCAGTGGATGCCTCAATTACATTGCAATTCAGTGGATGCCTTTTGTTGAATTGCAATTCACGGGGTACCCCATGAATTGCAATTCAATGAATTTGAGAAAGGAAAAACATATGAAATGACATTACTACCTTTGGTTGTTAATTCTATTATTATTATACAATGGGTATTTTAGTCTTTATACCACTTATTTCCTTCCCAATTCCAATAATTCTATTTCTCCCTATCAAACAACGTAATTTGAATTCATACTTTATTCCACCTTATTCTTTTCCCACCGAATTACAATTCCTTTCCCCCCCTAATTCCTTCCTTCCAACCAATCGCCCCGTTAACGTAGTAGGGGTTTGAGTCCCAACAAGTTTAAAAACTTAAAGTTGATAGATGCTGGAATTGTTGTTGGGCAGAGACCAGGTTCAAGTCCTAAAGCTGGAATTATTGGGGTCTAGTCCAACACCCTGCTTCTACTATATATAGGGGAGGATTATTTGGTATTGCATTTGATTGATTTGAACGATGCAAAATTAAAAGTGTTGGGGCCGACCCGCGAAGGTCCAAGTCCAGCCCTCGGTGGGTAGAGGATTGTTGGGCGCGAGCTTAAAGACTAAGGTTCATTACCTTACCTCTAGAAAATGTGACAATATAAGGAATAAAGTTGTGTCTTCGCTATTAGCCGTAAACACTTAGGGTGTGTTTGGTTCGCACATAGGAATCGGAATCGGAATGGGTATCAAATACTTGATAATGGTAATGGGTTTTGGTGGAAGTACTTAACATATTTGGTAGTAAGGTGGAATGGGAATGGTTACTAATAGTAGTGCTTGAAAATGAATAAGGGAATGAAACCCTTATTTTATTTGGATATGGGTTTTTCAATTGATGGGGTATTCGAAACCCATAGTAGTGTTCTAAAAACCTATCAACCAAACGACAACAATCACTTTCATACCCATTCCTATGGGCAAAACCCACCAACCAAACACACCCTTAATTCTAATAAGTAGTATTAATTAGAGGCAGGTTCCAACACCCTGTCTCTCTACGGGGGAGAATTTGGTATTGTATTTGATCTGAAAAATGCAAAACTAAAAGCATGGTTTTCTGGAATTCTTTTCTTTCAATATCGCCATATTTTGGGCAAGAAAAAGAGAAGTTTTACACACAAAAAGGTAACGATAGAAATAGATTGAAGAGAGAGAGGAAAAAAAAAAAAAAAAAAAAGGGGAAATAGCACCTTGAACGCCGGAGTGGTAAATGCCGAGGCCGAACCAGTAAGCATAGCCATTGAAGGGGGTAAGATCATAGACATTAAGGTACACAGGAACTGCCCCCTTCTTCTTCTTTTTGCTCGGCATTTCCCGCTCTCCTTGTCACCTTTTCCGAGGAGAGACAGGAATCTTGGGAGTCCCAGAGAATGAACATATATAGGAAGGAGTTTGGATCGTCGGATTGGCTATTAAATGATTTGATGAACCGCTTTTTTCTCTTCGGAATACAAAATTACAAATTTTATTGGTGTAAGGCATTTCTATTTCTATTAAATCATTGTACCATCCACCGTATTATTTACATACGATACATTTTTAATATAATATATGTTTATTTTTTCAAAAGTATACTAGCCTTTACACACGTATTGTGTGACTGATTTAATGTTTAATGTTTGTATTTAAAATAAATAATTTAAAGTATATCAATGTAAGATTATATATGAAAAGTTCATTATAGTTGACATTAAAATTAATACTTGCACTTTTCTAAAAACAATTATCTAAATATTTATTGTAATTATTGGTATGGTATTAGGTAGTATGTACTACTTTTGGTTGGAATTGCTCTAAGTTTTGTTAATTCACTTTTGGATAAGTTTGACATTGTCTTCATCTTCATTGCTTGCCCGCTTCTTTTTTGTTGGTAGTGTCTCATGTGTAATTGATTTACTGGTGCTAGTTTGCACAAAGAACAAATTTGAATCTAAAATGAGTCAACAATATCATTGTTATTTTTGAGTGATTGTTGTTTCAGTTTCATAATTATATTGGATTTAAAAGTATTGGCTTGGTTGTATGAGTTGCAAACATGAATAGTGTTAAAAGAATGGGTATGTATTATTTGCACGAATTGAATTCTGAAAATATGCCAAAAGAAGTGATAGAGAATGGGCAAAATTCCCTGAAAAATTTCCCCGACATCTATCCTTACATGGCTTATAACAATTGGGTGTCATGAATTAAGACCCCACTAACTTGTTATCAAGACTAAATCATCCAATGAAAAGTGTCATGTCATCAAGAGGGAGAATAAGAGGGGTGGGTAGCATTACTCATATATATATATATATATATATATATATATATATATATATATATAGAGAGAGAGGGGAAGGTTCAGATGCGGCGATGTCCTTAGGTCCGGCGTCACCAATAGTTCAACAAATATACACCATCAACGTTAGGAAAATGCACCACAAAACACACACAAATTAGGTACGCATCACCAAAAACACACCATTAGGTGTGAGTAAAAACACCATACAGTGTTCGGAAATACACCATTGGGGTGCGGTGAGTTATATGGTGTATTTTTTTTATATGTTGTGTATTTTTTGTATTTTTGTTGCATTTCATTATGGTGTGTTTCCCTTACACTGTTGGTGCATGTTGTTAATACTGTTGGTGTATTCTGAAATTTCACCGCACCGCCGCACGGGAAGACCCCGCTGCATTTGAACTTTCTTCTATATATATATATATATATATATATATATATATATATATATATATATATATAGTTAATACCTCCAATGGTCCTCTGAGTATAAGGGTCTTGTGTGCTGAGTGAAGACTTCCAAGTGGGATTTGTGATCCACTACTTGTTGCCTCCAGGTTGGAAGGACTTCAAGAACTACCTTAAGCACAAGCGAAAGGAGATGAACCTGGAGGACATGATCCAGTTACTCAGAATTGAGGAGGGGAACATGAAGAATGATGAGAGATGTCATGTCATTGATGGCGCTAAGGCCAACGTTGTCGAGCACGGTAAAAGCTCCAAGAGGAACAAGAATGACAAGCAGAAGCTTAGTCCGAAGGGAGGCGTTACCAAGACTAAGTTTCATGGTAAATGCTTCAATTGTGGCAAGTTTGGCCACAAGTCTTCTGAATGCAAGATTCCAAGGAAGAAGAACAAGAGTTTTGAAGCCAACGTTGTTGGAGAAATCAGTCAGAAGGAGGTCGAGATTATCCTTTCAGCTATGGTGAACCTCGTGGGTTCGAACTAGCGCAAGTGGTTCATTGACACCGATGCAACAAGGCATTTTTGTTGCAACCGACAACACCTTTGAGACCGTTAAGGGCGGGAATGTGTGGATGGGAAACTCTGCTCAGTTTGCTGTGGAAGGCATGAGCAAGGTGGTTCTGAAGATGACTTCCGGGAAGGAACTAACGTTGAACAACGTGCTGTATGTTCCGGAGCTGAGGAAGAATCTTGTGTCTGGCTCGCTGCTGAACAAGCATGCGTTCCGCTTGGTGTTTGAGTCAGACAAAGTAGTTTTGTCTAAGTTAGAAATGTTTGTTGGTAAATGTTATGTAACTGATGGGCTTTTCAAGCTCAGTGTAATGCCTGTTATCAATAAAAGCAAAGTTAATTCCTTTTACTTGCTTAAGTCTTCCAATTTGTAGCATGGTAGATGATGTTATCACATCTTTGCTTGTTTTTATAGTTATTTTGAATCATCTCAGTATTTAAGTTCTTTAATTTTGCTTATTTAATACATATTTTCCTTGCTATTATCATTTAATTATGGTTCACACTTGTTTTGAATGTTTTACGGTGTTTGTTAGTGTTTTTGAACCATTGTAGGTCAATTCTATGAGCAAGTGAAGTTCAAGGATGAGTTTGGAGCAATTTTGGACAAGTTCGGGGCTCAGAGTACTCGACGCGTCGAAAATTTTCAGAAAGTTTGGTGATCGGGACCTGCTGGTCTCGACGCGTCGAGCGAGGGCGCTGGAATCAACAACAGTGAAGGGCACTGATTACCATATTCAATTCAATTCTCAAACCCCAATTCACACTTCAATTCCAAATTCCAATTCCAACTTCAATTTTAAATTAATTACGGCAATTTCTTTATTTAAATATAGGAATTATAATTTGAGTCCAATTTTGTACAAGATTCCTATTTCATCTCAACTTTGTACCCACTATAAAATCCCTCCTTCCTCAACCCTAATAGAGACCGAGAGAATTCAGAGATTCTGGGAGACAAGAAGGAGAGAAATCAAGAGCCACAAGTTGTCTTGGAAAGCAAGAAGAAGACTAGGGAGATTTGGGAAAATCGTCTGGTTAATTCTTGTACTCTTTTGATGATTTGTAATTCTTTATTTATATTTGCTATGTATAATTTAGTCATGCTTGGCTAAATTCTTTAGAGATTCTTGGGTAAAAGTGTTTATGAACCTATGTGCCTGAGCTCTCAGTTTCTTTAATATATTATTATTTGGGTTTAATACTTGTGTTGCAATCGTGATAATATTGTTTGATGCTTGTAATTAATGGCCATAGTTACTAGCTTCATAGCCATGTTTGTGTCACCAATGGGAGTTGGGGCATAAATTAGGGTACACACAATTGCACCTAATGGTTGGACCTTGAGAAAGGGGAACTTATTAGGGGAAGTTTATTCTAGATTGTTGCCAATCGGGAGATGGTAGTAATTAGGAATAATTGAATGCTAATCTTCGATCTTATTGGGTGTTTAAGCCACGGGAGTGGAAATTCACTAGGAATAGAGATTACGGGAGTAATTCGATTCCACTTTGCATTCCCACACAAATCTTAATTCCAAACTAAATATTGCAAACTAAATATTGCAAACAAATAATTCTCGGAGTACGAGTTATCGATCCACAGGGAAGTGGTTGTATGAAGAACTAGTTACTAACTTATTCATTAGAGCTAATCCTAACAATTACTTAGATGATTGATTGGCATAAAATAAATAAAATAAAACAGAGGTTCAGGATTTTGAAAACAATTAGAGAGAAGTTGAGATTCATGGGATTCAAGTATTTAATCACCTAGTGCCAATTATCGTTTGCAATATTTAGTTTGGAATTAAGATTTGTGTGGGAATGCAAAGTGGAATCGAATTACTCCCGTAATCTCTATTCCTAGTGAATGTCCACTCCCGTGGCTTAAACACCCAATAAGATCGAAGATCAGCATTCAATTATTCCTAATTACTACCATCTCCCGATTGGCAACAATCTAGAATAAACTTCCCCTAATAAGTTCCCCTTTCCCAAGGTCCAACCATTAGGTGCAATTGTGTGTACCCTAATTTATGCCCCAACTCCCATTGGTGACACAAACATGGCTATGAAGCTAGTAACTATGGACATTAATTACAAGCATCAAACAATATTATCACGATTGCAACACAAGTATTAAACCCAAATAATAATATATTAAAGAAACTGAGAGCTCAGGCACATAGGTTCATAAACACTTTTACCCAAGAATCTCTAAAGAATTTAGCCAAGCATGACTAAATTATACATAGCAAATATAAATAAAGAATTACAAATCATCAAAAGAGTACAAGAATTAACCAGACGATTTTCCCAAATCTCCCTAGTCTTCTTCTTGCTTTCCAAGACAACTTGTGGCTCTTGATTTCTCTCCTTCTTGTCTCCCAGAATCTCTGAATTCTCTCGGTCTCTATTAGGGTTGAGGAAGGAGGGATTTTATAGTGGGTACAAAGTTGAGATGAAATAGGAATCTTGTACAAAATTGGACTCAAATTATAATTCCTATATTTAAATAAAGAAATTGCCGTAATTAATTTAAAATTGAAGTTGGAATTGGAATTTGGAATTGAAGTGTGAATTGGGGTTTGAGAATTGAATTGAATATGGTAATCAGCGCCCTTCACTGTTGTTGATTCCAGCGCCCTCGCTCGACGCGTCGAGACCAGCAGGTCCCGATCACCAAATTTTCTGGAAATTTTCGACGCGTCGAGTACTCTAAGCCCCGAACTTGTCCAAAATTGCTCCAAACTCATCCTTGAACTTCCCTTGCTCATAGAATTGACCTACAATGGTTCAAAAACACTAACAAACACCGTAAAACATTCAAAACAAGTGTGAACCATAATTAAATGATAATAGCAAGGAAAATATGTATTAAATAAGCAAAATTAAAGAACTTAAATACTGAGATGATTCAAAATAACTATAAAAACAAGCAAAGATGTGATAACATCACCCCCCTCACACTTAAGCTTTTGCTTGTCCTCAAGCAAAACTAAGGAATAAAATCACAAGTCAAAACATACAAATTACTCATGCTCTCTCTTGCACAACCTTTCAAACCACCAACCAACTTGCTACAAAACAACAAGCTTCAAGAATCAAATTAGTTTGGCACATAAGAGACCCATTTCCAAGCCAATGACCAAGCA